CAAATACGGATACAATGTCCCGAAGTACAAATAGCTTCTCTCTCGAATCCAAATCGGTGATCCAGGGTTTGATTCCTGGAAAGGGCAGAAATGTGTGGGCATATGTCCTTTCACCTAAGGCTCTCTTCACTTAGCAGTAAATAGGTATACCCAGGAGGTAGGGAAATGCTGGGGTGTTGCACCCTGGGCAGGGTCAGTAATTCGATCATGTTGGGGGGGGGGGTGCTCGACATAATGCAAACATGTATATATATATATATATATATTATATATTATATATATATATATATATATATATATATATATATATATATATTATATATATATATATATATATATATATATATATATATATATAAAATCCGGCGGCAGATAACGTACCAAGCACCAGCTGGCTTGCTGGTGCATATAACGTTTTCCACAATGGAAAATATCTCCCACACTTCAAAAACATGTGAGGTATGGGAGTGTCATAGGCCAGTCGGGGTCGACTTCAGTGCCACTCTTTAAGAAACATGGACGTGTAACCCAACACCCTCGGTGTGATTTTTATGAAGTCAAGTTTGGAGTATTTTTGTTGTTGTTGTCAATAGAGTGACTTAGCAGTTTCAGTTTTTAGTTATCCACAGAATTATGGAAGAGAGGGAGGGGAAAGAGAGGGGAGGAGAAGAGAGGAGTGGAGGAGAAGAGAAGGGATGAGAGAGAGGGAGGGGTATGTTTTAAGAGGGGAAGGAAGGAGGGGGGATGTTGGATGGGTGGGGGGGGGGGGGGGGGGGGGTTGGAGGATGTTGGAAGAGAGATGGATGGGAATGGGACGGGCGATGTTTGGGCGAAGGTGGGGGGGATGTTGGATTGGATGGGGGGGGGTTTAAAGTTTAAGAAAGTGAGAGATTGGAGGGAATTGGGAGAGAGGGTGGGAAAGGAAGGATAGGGAAAAGGAGGGATGTTTGGGGGAAAGTGAAGATGGAAGCAGAAGATGAAAGGTAAAAATATGAGAGAGAGAGGAGAGAGAGAGAGAGAGAGAGCGAGATTGAGAGACGAGAGAGATGAGAGGAGAGAACGAGGAGAGAGGAGAAGAAGAGAGAGGAGAGAGAGAGAGAGGAACTGAGAGAGAGAGATTGAAGAGAGAGAGAGAGAGAGGGGAAGAGGAAGGGAATAAGAAAGACCCGGGAGCCACCGGATACCCCAATATAGTAAACACACAATCAAAACAAACCTAATCATCCAATCAAATAAACTGAATACCACACTACCAAGGATGCAACATTCCAATCACCTTGGGTACAGGTGCCCTGAACCCCTCTGACATGAGAGGTAGTCGCTCTATCAACTGTACCATGAGTGAGCCTTAAAAAGGATGGATCCCAAAGCAGCTAACCGCTACCCAAATGAAACTTGCCTCTCCCAATGGCTACCACTCAAGCGCAGGAGAATTATCTATTCCATTAACTCCAAGTCATATAAACTGTATACCTCAGAACTGTGGAGGAAATGTTACATTCACGGTAGTGTGGTATACAGTTTTGTCACGGGACGAGTGTTCGAGACTCCTAGTACCCAAGGCGAGGTAAATCTTATCACATATTAAATATTCATTGGCACTTTTCTAAACATGTATTCTGCAAGAATTATTCTCACCGAAGGCAGAATAACATTAGGAGGAACTGATGAATCATACATATATATCCTGTTTCACTTTTCTTCGTTGTTATACATGTATCTCACACTACTATTTCATCCGATATCATTACTTATAATGACATTATTCATGCAGTCTTGAGGAAAATCAAAGGTTAATTCCTAACTCCAGTCACTCGGACTCTTGTCATTACTTTCATTCTCTGTAATTCTGTGAAGTCATTAAACAATTACAGCTATCACGAAGGAGGTGCAATTGGCCTCCTTCTTGCATGATTGGGGACTTCCGTCTGCAAGAAATAACATGATTTACTAAACCAACAACGACATCAGCTTTCAACATTATTTTAATCACTCACTTAATCATCATGCTTTCAAATCTTTTTCCCTGATTGTAAAAAATGATCCCAGGAGTATGTACTTAAACAACACAGGGCAGTTGGAGGCAGCATGTGATCTTGTAATTAGAATGTAACTCGTCACTATTTTCTGTCTCTGCTGTAAAATGTTCCACAGCTCATGCAATACTACGACACACCCAGAACTAAGCACCTAGCGCATTGTTCTGAATGTTGCCATGATCACGAGGCGGCGCCAAGGAAAGAATGTGACTCTTAACATGACGTGATATATAATGACATTCACACACCTGTCACATCTGCAGAATATAACACAGGAAACCTCGTACAATGTAACCTGCTTCCATTTGCCAAAGTGCATCAATTATCATTTGAATTGCAGCATCTAAAAACCCTTACTAAAATTGCCATAATTTCAAAAGATTTGCCGTAATGACAGATGAGAAATGTTGAGGGGGGTTCACGGCTTCAAAGCGGCCAGATTATTTTAACCTTTGACCTTTGACCTTTAACAAAAATTAATCACCTTGAAATACACTTATCGCATATGTGCACTTATCTAGCAGTATATATTTATCAAGTATACCTTTTTGGGATAGTTTTCTTTCCTTGCGTCAAACATTTCAACCTGATATCTATTTTTTAATCCATATATGAAGCCTACATCAGTTGTTTTACGCCTTGCTTTATCGCCTTGCAACATTACTAATTAGATGTAAAAATATTTTCTGAAATATCCATGTTGCTCATTTTTGGGTATTAAGTTATAACGACATCTTCCTATCCTTGTCAAACATCTTGAACGTGTTACGCTGGATATAATCCCGGGGATTTTGTATGTTGTAATCAACAGGCAATCAGTCTGCTTTGCTTCGTATCACTTCTAAAGAAGTGACGTTTATTGCATTTAGTCTATCTTCATTGCTCATGACTTTCTGTTTAATATTGAACAAGTTCGGACTCTCTGAGCTTTTTCCAGCATTGATCTGTCTTTGGCTAGGGAGAGTTCCTGACGGGATTTCAGCACTCATTAACCGGCCATGATTATATGGTGCAAAGCGCATGGAATGGTCCCCCCTGTTCAAACTTCCTTATGTTTCCATTATGATTTTTAGCACTGGATGTACAGCGTTATTTTTTTTATGCTAGCCTCAAGAAATAGGTTTGGCTCTGTGTTCACTCCGAAAACTTTATCTTTCAGACCTAGTGAACTAGTTTCTACTGAGATGGTGTTTCAGTACGATTGTGAGTGTGTGCTCTGCTAGTTTAGGTATTCACTTGGGTTCTCAAGTGATGAGCATCAAAGTTCTGGTTCTGTCTCGTGCTTCATTGTGTGTGTATGCTGTAGTATACTTGTAGAGTAATAAAATTAAATAAAACGCGAAATGTGCTTAAAGAGAGAGATAATCATATTGTAAAGCAAAGGTTACCTATTGTCTGGGTAACGATTTTTTCAATGAACGATTATTTTCCCCCGTTCTGATATTTCCACAAAGGCTGCCACAGTGGTAATCTATGCGGTTGGCCGTTAGAGAATGCCTGATGTGTCTATTGTATATCTCCTGTTATGAGACAAGCCTGTAATGGCCTCTCAAGGTTGAGAGATAGATTGGACAAAGAGAATCATCCACAGTAACGCATCTGTCATCCTTATCTGACAGTCGGCGGGGTAAGGGAGCTGGAGGCCCTCTGCAATTTCTTTTGTTGTTAAGCTCTAAAAGAAACCGAGCCTAACGAAACAAATCATATATGCTCTGTATATAAATTATACGTAATATATATGCATATATATATATATATATATATATATATATATATATATATATATATATATGCATATATATATATATATATATATATATATATATATATATATATATATATATATATATATATATATATATATATATATATATGTTTCATTGAATATGACCGCGTATTCTGTATTTATTATTTTCTGGTTTAGGGCTTCTATCCCTCTAACTATTTTCTTAGCATCAGGGCATAATTGAAATAGGAGTTCTCCAAAACTCATTTTCGTACTTTTAAGGTGAAGAAAAGAAGTGATTTACTCTAGAGTGTATTACACTTATTTATATAATTTGCACAACGTTTCGAACCTCCATGGTTCATTCTCAAGTGAACAGATCTTACAATACTAGTTGATTTTATACCCGCACTGGGTCAGGTGATAATACAATGAAGGTGAAAACATGGGAGGATACATAAGGGATAAATGTGAGGTGAAACATAGAGGCTGCAGAAGGCTTATTGGCCCATACGAGGCATCTCCTATCTAAACACAAAGAATAATCCAGTGTAATTGGATTAATTACCCCCACGAAGTATGTCACCTTCAATGTAAGTACATAGGTATGACGTCGACCAAGCTGACGAGGCGTTTGACATGCCATCTTCAATCTGGTGTCCCTAGGAATCACATGAGACAAGCCCATGACATTACTCTAACAAGAGAAATGTTGAACAAGAATACCTGCATAATAGACAAAACTCAAGATGCAAGAAGATTACAAATTCTTGAGGCAATTCACATAAGAATAGAGCGACCTACCATGAACACCCAAATCACGGAACTATTTACTCTACCCACCATGAGAGTAAGGACAAGACAAGAACATATCCATGCCAACACAGAAGACAATGTCCAACATAACAGGCCAATTACACTGGATTAATCTTATATACAACACCTATCGTCCTGTTGTTGATGTTTGCACAATATACAACACCTACCGTCCTGGTGTTGATGCTGGCACAATATACAACACTTACCGTCCTGTTGTTGATGTTGGCACAATATACAACACCTACCGTCCTGTTGTTGATGCTGGCACAATATACAACACCTACCGTCCTGTTGTTGATGCTGTTGCAATATACAACACCTACCGTTCTGTTGTTGATGCTGGCTACAGTACCCTATATGACGGAGGTCCCGCCCTACTGTTGTTGAAGTGGAACACGACTCACTAGACTACTCACCGCCCTGTCGTTCAGGTGGAGTACAACACAAGGAAGGCTGGCGGTTTGGCCCTCCTGCACTGTCACCGTGCTTTCTGTCGGTCCAAACTCCGGTTGTTGAGTCTTCCACTTGCCCCCAGGACCAGTTCCTGCAAAATAACGGGAAGACATTTATACACATAGCTAACGACGGTTTGTCATTGATATTGACTGGGTTCGAACCCCGGACAAGGAGGAATGACTGGATAGAGATTCTTTATTATTCGACCATTTTAACACAATATTAAATAGAGATCTGGCTGTAAACCGATTGACAGGTCAGGTTCTCTGGATAAACTTGTAGTGCATGGATTAAACTGTGTTGTGGGAAGGGTGAAATCTATGTCAACTAAATCGAGTTCTAGTTAAATTAATGGGCACCTGCAGGTTCCAGTTATAAAAAAAATATATATCAACATACACGTAATATCAGGGTATTGAGCCCTGGTAGTCTCGTGTGTAAACAAATAGATTATGTAGACTACTTGTAAACTTTCTGTAAACAAGTAGCTATGGGCTACGCCCTCGAGGTTCTATTTGGGATTTTTTTTACAGAAGTATTAATGCAGAGAACTTGACCTAAACGTTAAACGTGACGGCTACTGAAGGAATGTTGATAACATCTCGCAGGTGCCTAACATGGAGCGTTTTGTGCTTGTGGAAGTTTTGAAGCCCTATTCCGTGCATAGTTTCACTAACAATTTCTTTTATCTGGATGTAATTATCTTAGGAATGAATGGCAGCCTCCACACTCAAGTCTATGTTAAGGGAACCAACACAGGAATTTGCCTTAATGCAGGTAGTAAGTACCTGTCCTGTTAAAGTGGAGTGTTATCACACCAATTAAATGTTTCTATAGTGACGGCTTTCAGTTGGCCATACGACGGAGGAAATAGGCCTGAAAGCCATAAGCGACAGAAACGTGACCCGTACCAGCACTAATCAGACGAAGCAGCCCACAATATACTACGCCAGTAAGAATCCCACCAAAGCTCATGAAGATCTCTCTCAACATCAAACAGAACAAATTGAAAGTGACAAATGTCATGCATGCCTAAGTTCACTTTTTCCCTACGTTCCCCAGTTCACTCGGGAACTGACAGCTCTATATCCAGCTCAATATATGAACTAGACGAAAATTTTGTCAAAGTATCTAACAATTCACACAGAACAAGGTTCTATCAGAGATCCAATTATTACAACACCATTAGGCCATCATCAGATATATGTTGACCAACAACACTGAAATAATCTACAAATTCAAGGGCAATGTAATTTGGCATAGCCATAGCACAACATATCAAACACACTGTTCCAACTATCAACGTCTAGCTTCCAATTAGGTCATACTATCTACAAGACCAAGTCTTTTCAATTGGGTAATACCTCCTCCTCACCTCATCCAATATTTGTAATTCAAAACCAGACATTTTTATTCGCTCTAACACTGCCTCTGATGATGCTAAACAGAGCTTCAGCGAAATTCGTCATTTAGCGACATTTATCGACACTAATAAATAGCAAGATAACCTTTAGGAAGCTAATTTCTCAATTCCACAGGGAAGTTACTTATTTTTTATCTTGCCAAGTGATGATCATAATGAATATGGAAAACATTAGTGACAAATTCAAAGCTCTAGCAGTTTTATTCAAAAAACTGTGTCAGTCTGGAGATTGGTGTATGATATGTCACGAAGACGAAGGCATTTTCTTGAATGGGATAAATGGAACACTTTTCAGGATTACAATCCTGGAACTTTAATGGAATGGTAGGTTAAGTGGTAAAGTGGTTCTAATGGCATGGTTCCCTAACTGGAATAACGACTTATAGAGCATAACGCATCATTTCAGGATTATAAACAATTTTGAAATACACAAATGCACTTCTATGAAATGCATCTCAATGACAGGCATCCCTAGTCAAACCCTGAAAATTATTGAACAAATCCACAAGGGCCGTGAAAAGGATTCGAACCTGCGTCCAAGAGCATCCTAGACGCTGCTTTAATGCTCTTGGACGCAGGTTCGAATCTTCGTCACGGCCCTTGTGGATTTGTTTATATGATGCATCACGCTATTGTGATTTCTGTGTGTACTGAAAATTATTATTTGTTGAGACTTCCATACTCACGAAGGCAGCGCACCAGTGTAAATAAGCACCAAACACATCATTAATAAAGACCACAGGTAGAACGAAGGTAATTATAACACGACAAACGCGACACACAAGGTTTCAAATGCCAGACATCAACTACGAGGGTGAAACAATGCTTTTATGAAATTTTTCAACTAATAACTATGTTTTCTTGAATAAAAAAAGACATTATACTTTATTTTATTGAAATGAAAATAATGTTGACCAGACCACACACTAGAATCTGAAAGGACGACGACGTTTCGGTCCTTCCTGGACCATTCTCAAGTCGATTGTGAATGGTCCAGGATGGACCGAAACGTCGTCGTCCTCTCACATTCTAGTGTATGGTGTGGTCAACATACTTTAGCCACGTTATTGTGATTCATCGCCTGCATGAAAATAATGTGTTTAAATTACTATTTATCCAAAGATTTTATATGTGCTATTGTCAGTAAAGTAAGAGCCTCTTTATAGTCAGTTGTCAATTAAAAGACTCTTTGGATTTTTCCATTTAAATATTTTTTTACGTTCATGGATAATTGAGCTTCAAAATACAAGCCAAACGCATGTACCCTCCTCACAGATACATAATAAATCTGAACCTTGAATCCTACAATCATCGACCGACTCCAGCTTAGTTAATGGTCCTTCGATGTATATTAAACACTCATATATAGACTTACAGTCAGTCTAGCTAATACATTTCTATTCAAAATCGATACATATAGTCACATAAATAGAACATGCTATAAGTCAACATCACCTGAAACTAGCCAGATTGGCCAGTTTCAGATACTTTGCTTGCTTAATGCAAGCAAATGATATTTGCCTTGGGATGCAATTTACTTGATTGAGTTCCTCGGGGACTGTTTCTATAAATGTTCAGATAGTTAGCTGCTAATATTTTTATTGATCAACACTGACAGATGTTGCCACCAAAGGTGAGGAGATAATTCGCAGAGACAATGAGGCGAGACAAAGGTGAACGTGGTACTACTGACGGATTATATCATAACACTAATGAAAAAAACCATAATTATATATATATATATATATATATATATATATATATATATATATATATATATATATATATATATATATATATATATATATATATATATATATATATATATATATGTCGTACCTAGTAGCCAGAACGCACTTCTCAGCCTACTATGCAAGGCCCAATTTGCCTAATTAGCCAAGTTTTCATGAATTAATTGGTTTTCGACTACCTAACCTACCTAACCTAACCTAATCTAACTTTTTCAGCTACCTAACCTAACCTAACCTATAAAGATAGCTTAGGTTAGGTAGGGTTGGTTAGGTTCGGTCATATATCAACGTTAATTTTAACTCCAATAAAAAAAAATGACCTCATACATTATGAAATTGGTAGCTTTATCATTTCATAAGAAAACAATTAGAGAAAATATATTAATTCAGGAAAACTTGGCTTATTAGGCAAATCGGGCCTTGTATAGTAGGCTGAGAAGTGCGTTCTGGCTACTAGGTACGACATATATATATATATATATATATATATATATATATATATATATATATATATATATATATATATATATATATATATATATATATATATATATATATATATATGTCGTACCTAATAGCCAGAACGCACTTCTCAGCCTACTATGCAAGGCCCGATTTGCCTAATAAGCCAAGTTTTCATGAATTAATGTTTTTTAGACTACCTAACCTACCTAACCTAACCTAACCTACCTTTTTCGGCAACCTAACCCAACCTAACCTATGAAGATAGGTTAGGTTAGGTTAGGTAGGGTTGGTTAGGTTCGGTCATATATCAACGTTAATTTTAACTACAATAAAAAAAATTGACCTCATACATAATGAAATGGGTAGCTTTATCATTTCATAAGAAAAAAATTAGAAAAAATATATTAATTCAGGAAAACTTGGCTTATTAGGCAAATCGGGCCTTGAATAGTAGGCCAAAAAGTGAGTTCTGGCTACTAGGTACGACATATATATATATATATATATATATATATATATATATATATATATATATGTCGTACCTAGTAGCCAGAACGCACTTCTCGGCCTACTATGCAAGGCCCGATTTGCCTAATAAGCCAAGTTTTCCTGAATTATTATATTTTCTCAATTTTTTTTCTTATGAGATGATAAAGCTACCCATTTCATTATGTATGAGGTCAATATTTTTTTATTGGAGTTAAAATTAACGTAGATATATGACCAAACCTAACCAACCCTACCTAACCTAACCTAACCTATCTTTTTAGGTTAGGTTAGGTTAGGTAGCCGAAAAAGTTAGGTTAGGTTTGGTTAGGTAGGTTAGGTAGTCGAAAAACAATTAATTCATGAAAACTTGGCTTATTAGGCAAATCGGGCCTTGCATAGTAGGCTGAGAATTGCGTTCTGGCTACTAGGTACGACATATATATATATATATATATATATATATATATGATTTTACCTAGTAGCCAGAACGTCGTACTTGGCCTAGTATGCTAGGCCCGATTTTCTTAATAAGCCAAGTTTTCCTGAATTTATATATTTTTCAATTTTTTTCGTATGAAATGATAAATCTGTTCATTTCATTATGTATAAGCTAATTTGTTTATATTTGAGTTAAAACTAACGTAGATATATAACCGAACCTAGCTAACCCCACCAAACCAAACCAAACCTATCTTAACCTAACCTAAACTAACACAACTAAGTCAATAAATTATTGTCCTAATATAAAATAATAATAATAATTGAAATAAACTATTTGGGATTTTTTGTTTGAAAATAAAGAAAATCACTCGGCCTATTAGGCAAATCAGGCCTTGCATAGTAGACCGAGAAGTGCGTTCTGGGTACTAGGTACGACATACACACACAAACACACACACACACACACACACACACACACACACACACACACACACACACACACATATATATATATATATA